TGCAATTTGAGCTATTTGGTTCCCTGTGTACGTCGAGTAAGCCTCATCTCCGGAAATACGGCGTTTTCCGACAACACGCGCGCACCAAACAGTTGATGTAGTTTTGGCCGTTTCGAAGTAACCGATTCTATAATTAGGCGATTTACTCTAAATGTTAGAAAAAAAGTAAGTATTGTGCCATGAGATCGTGGAATAAATGGAATACTAGGGAGATATTTGTTTGGCCGTGAACTATTCAATTAAACGAAGTATGTTTCTGTTACAAAGTACGTGAAAATGGCGAGGAAATAAATGCCTTAAACGAATCGACTATTTGGTCCGAAAAGTAAAATCAGCTTCATTAAGTAAATTTCCCTTATTCAATTCACCGTTAGATGTTAATATAGTGTCAGCATACTAAACTTGATCCTAAGTAAATTCTCTCTCGGATATTCCAGACGACCATTTCGTCAGCAAGAGGATCCGTTGTGTGCACCGTACTTCGTACCATGCTGTTATTATCAAATGGGAAAATTATTTTAGTACAATACCCAGTAATTAAATTCTTCTCGAAAAAAATTGAAATTTTTATGTTACGAGCGATACAAACGTTTTCGTATTAGTCATAATATAACAAAACAAACAAAAGTTGGGTTCGAAAACAAACGAAACACGGCAATTTTCAAGAAAGTATAAATATTAGAGGATTGCACCTAGGTAAAAACTTGAAAATATTGTCCATTGTTTAAACAATGTCCCATTCATCGTCAACGTAGTGATGCCTTAGGCATTCGCAAGATGATGAAATTACTTAAAAATATATACTTCCTGTTGAACAATTTGTTTTTCAAGGTATTTAACAACTTTTTACATTATTATAACTTTGAGGGAAGATTGTATGAAATTTCGAAAAAAAAAATATTTTATTTAAATATTCGAATCAAGAGTTGAAAGAATATATTTTGTGATTTAAATGTCAAACGCATAAATATTCCGAAAAAAGTCAAAAACATAAGATGTGATAGAAGGAAAAGAAAATGCATCTAAAAACTTAAAGAGAAGAGTTAAGCCGCTAATATGAGATAAATTTTCAGTTTTTAGAACAGCGTTATTTTTCTTATTTGTCCCACTTATATCCTAACCTATAATGTAACACTTTCGTGTTTAATTTGTTTTGAGGATTGAATATACACGTGCAACTGACTGGTATGAGTGACTCTACGTGACTCTACTGAATGCACACGAACGATTACGTTCTTGAACTGTTGATAAAATAACTAAATACTCCACTATAGTTCTCTACAGAGCTGAAGAAAACATGCACAAACGGTGAAGCCAGATTTATGACTAGAAGCAAAGCCTAAGGGGTCGTGCTCATTCGATAAAGGGAAATGAAATGAAATCGTGATCGAGATAAGTCTTTAGCCCGGAAGCTGAATTTATTACAGGCATACAGTCTTTTACAATTATACAGTATAAATGTGAACTAACGTAATAATATTTTATTTTAATATAATTGAAGTTAGTTGTGTTATTTTTTTGTTTGGTACATTCTGTAACATTGTGTGTGAAGAGTTGTGTGACCATTGGTTTCCATGCCTGTGGTCTGTGGAGAGTGGAGGTTGTGCCCGCGCAGATGGCGCGCGCGTGGCGCTGTGCGGCGGCGGCTGGTGGCCAGCGGAGAAAGTCCGCGGGGTGGCGAGGGGATGGGGGAGGGCGGCGTGATGCTCAGATTAAGCGCCTCCCTTTGTGGGTCGCGGGTGGAAACTTGGCCTTCGCGCCGTGACTTACCGGCGGACACGCCGACTCGGCCGCTCGTAAGCGTCTGCCTGTGCGGCTGGCGGGCCGACGGGCGACGCCTGGCGATGCTCGATGGCGGATTTTTGATTCCCTTGGGCGATTCCCTAATAAGAGCACGCTAATGTAACATAATGGTCGTGTATCGTTTATTAGGAACTATGGGCACACAACACCCAAAGTGCGCTCTGTTTAATAGGAAATCCCCCAGGCATCTATGAATCACTTTTTGGGACTAGAAAAATTCCAATATTCGTAGATTATGATAAAGTAAAATAACATGCGTACATGCAACCAGCAACACACGTTGGCTTAGAATATAACTTGGAAACGATGCGCTCTGGATTCTTAAAATCAGGTTTTCGTGTTCCTGGCGACATAAAAGTTATATATCTACCGTAATAAACAAAATTTGTCCTCTCTGGACGTCCATTTTTACAAAGTACTACTACTACTTCGTAGCATAGGTTGTCAGAAACATTTGTTGTTCCAGTGTGAAGCTATTTTCCCTTCTAAAACTTTCATTTAGTGCGGAATGTTCGTACAGATAGTACAGATATATTTTTGAACGATCGTTATTATTGTGGTGTTATACAGCCGAAGACGTTTATCACTAGGGATCTAATCATCATGCTTGTTTGTTTATTTCTTGAATGTTTCATCTTTAGAATTTCAAAACACGCATAATATTTTTGTGATTTATAGATCCTATATGGAACCGCCAATGGAATAGTTGCAGTGGAAAATTAAATAATGTAGTTATTGGACGTGAACTAAATAAGTGTTTAAGGATATTTTTAGATTCGTTCATTGCATATTCGAATATCGCGACATGTATTTATGTATTTAATTTCTTTTATTTTACGAGTTTAATTGAGGAGGATGAGCTTTAGTCAGAGCAGTTTTCCCTACATTTTTCACAGCGGCGATGTTTGCTACCATTTTTTAACCGCTACATTTTCGATGACTGAAATAATGCTTTGATAACAATTAAATTGATATTGTAGAAACATTGGAAAGTAAATTGGAAATTGCATATGCACAACTGTAATCAACTGCTGGTAGATCTGCATCACCTCATGTTTTTTTGTATATTCTTAAAAACTAGTTTAAAATAGAATAATCATTTGCTAGCATCAACTTTCACAAAAGTTGAATGTCATGGACATCAACCTAAGAGCTTCGTACTGTTCCTCCACGTACCTTATCTTCTCCAAATCAATTGTGTCATTTTATGGAGTTTCCTCGGAGCGAGAAACAGTTATTCTCCCCGACCGTAAGACTAATGAAATCTACCTCCCATCCACAAGTAACAGAAGACCAACACGATCTCGTTCTTTCGAATGCCCAGTCGAGTGCAGTCAAAAGAAGCCGCTGGATTCGATGCATCGGGAATCCAGCTATTTGCATTTATATGAAACGCCCTTCATCAAATTTATCAAGTACTTTAGATGCGCGTTTGACACGAACGGGCATCGCGCCCTCCGCGAGGGTGTTGCCCCCGGAACGACGTGAGCCTCGTGAGAGCCCCATTACGTCGCAAGACTCCGGGCTCCCGCTTCCACGGCGTCATGGTCCGGGAGGACTGATTGGGCATTCTTCTCTCCGTAATGGAATCTATTCCGAAACAGGTTCGTTAGAAGGGGATCATCGGACGCTTCGTGTTAATTGTGGGGCGGAAGAGGCTGCTCATTGGGTCGCAACGCTCGGAATGAAATGAAGTCATTATTCACAAAATAGACTGCACGAGCGTTATAAAATATACAGTGAACTTTATCGTCGTGACAGAATCCATATCAGTATGAGAGCAATGTGGCTTACAAACATTTACGAGAAGTTTCTTTTTTAAGTAATAACTGATGAACTGTAGTTAACAAGTTCTGATACACCGTGGGATAATAACAAATACTGGAATTTTAGTTTCTGCTTCTAGTTGAAGTTGATTCTAAAATTTCTTCTTGTTAATGAAGGTTTGATTAAACACACAATTATGATGCTTAACAAAGGGTATACATTTAATTTTTAGTTTATTTTAATGTAATTTTATCCTAAAAACAGACTATGTTGCAAAATGTGCATGTGACGTATGGAGAAGTATAATCTGTGTACTTATTCGACTCCAGAATCTCTCCGCCTTTTTTTCTATTATAGAGTTGAATTATAAATAAAGGTATCAACGAGCGTGTTTGTCGTTTAAAAAAATTACCCATTTAGCTCACATGTAATAGAAAACTATTTGCAATTTACAAACGATGTACAAATTATTTTTATAGTACTGCTGAGTATAACTACCGCTCCCTGGCCTCACCCCCACATCTAGCAACAGTAGCGCTCAAGAAAACGTTCGCAGATAGTGATTCTATCATAACTGTTTAGAAGCAAAGCAAAGGTCCATGTTTTCATTGGCAGAAATTGATAAAAGGAACACTGGTCGTAAAACTGTTATTGACATAGAAGCTGAATTGCAATGCTTTATTTAGGTGTATTTAGTAGTTTGTAATCATTCAATACAAATAATAATTTATTAAAATAGTAGGCATACAATATATCTGCTTTACGTTCATACCTTACTATTGGATCTACTTCACGGTTGAAAATAATTGAATTTCAACTCTTTCAGAGGGAAAGGAGAAGATCCAAGTCCTATTCGTTTCCAAATCGCTTTTGAGGAATCATCCCGGTTTTTGCGGAATTTCTTCGATGAGGATGGGTGGTGTCAGGTGATGACTGCAGCGCAACGAATCACGAATTCTTTCGTCACTTTCTCTGTTGCGCTCTGGTGTACTGTTGAGGCAGGTCATGCTATTTTCTGTGCCACGAACACCTACCTGCTCTGTGAATCGCAAGTCATTGCGATATTTTGCTCTAACCAATCGATGTGTTGGATAATCAGAACTTTCTATGAAAGCCTTTTTTTAATTTTTTCGTTTAAGATAATTGATGATTTTTTAATAAATAATTACTGGGGGTGACGTTTTACGTATCAATTCGTAGAAACATAATTAACTTTCTCAAGTAAATTGTATTCAATTATCTTGTACTACTTTTAAAGGACGAAGCTTTCAATTTCATCTTATTAAATAAAAATGTAAATAGTTCTAATAATTTTTTAAAAGAAACAATGGTCGTCAATTTGTCTTGCATGATGACTTAGCTTCATTACGAAAATAGTGTAGGTCCTCTTCACCAGCACGAGAGTATTCGAACCGACGGCATTGTTTTCTATGCCTGAAGAGGCAACTCCTGTGAAAGCTTCTAGCCCTTCCCATCGCTGCGGCAATCTCATCAGCGTGATTCCAGGAGCAGTGAAGCAGCAAATAGACGAGAAACGTGAGAACCCTTCGCCTGGCACTCTGCCGAACGCCATCGGGAGAAACTAGGAAGCGATGCCGTACTCGCACGGTACAATGAAATCCACCGCGATGGAATTTGCCTGCATCGCTGTCCGCTTTCCGATTTTCAGAAGCGAAACCTGCTTTGAATTGCTCCAAGTTTTCTTTCTGTTTGCGGGTGTCAGAGTTCAAATTTGGTAATGCGTCCACACTATATGACATTACGATTATAAATTGTCTGTTACTTAAAATTCAGGAATATCTTCTAAAACTTTTGGAGATTTCAACGTATTACATTATTTTCGTTGTTTCTCTATTGCTATCTATTCGTTGTTATCCTCATTTACATAATTTCATAATGGTTCTCACCAGTTCAAGATATTGATTTGACCTCAATTTATGTTTTCTTAAAAAGAACATAATTTTGATGACCTCAACTTTAATTGAAATTCCTAAACGTATTGACATGTAGGAAGCTCGCTCATGAGAAGGTATCTGCTGAAAAAGTGAACCTGCAATCGTTAGATTTTGTGTACTTTTAAATTACAATACGCATTTAAATATCATGTTAGGATAACAACAAAAAATTGTATGTATATATGATGTTAATTGCAACACTGTGCTGTTAATTGCGCGCCTGAGAGTGAAAATAATATATGTCGCCGTTGTACCTGATTTCCCTCAGTCTGTGTGCCCCAATGTACCTGATTTCCCAATCTCTAAAATGCCGGTGTGTTGTCTTAGTGCGATGCATTAATTGGGCGTGTGCTTGTGTTTCAGCCATTACCATCGGCGTGCGCATCCTGGGCCCGGCGCTGGGCTTCCTGCTGGGCTCCATGTGCACGCGCATCTACGCCGACCCCTACACCGACCCGCAGATCGAGCCCACGGACCCGCGCTGGGTGGGCGCCTGGTGGCTAGGTGAGTGCTCTCCGCCAAGGGCAGCGCTGCAGCGCTTCCTCCACCGCCCCCAAATACCGGTGTTCTGCCTTGTTAGTATAATGCATTGATAAGGGCCATCCAAAGAGAAGCATCCGCAGCCAGTTCGTGCGTACGGGGTGTGGTTCATAAAGTTCATAAAGGAATAAACATTGAGGTCATACTTTTTTCGAACGCAATTCATAGAAAATTTACCTGCTTCTTTATTAAAAACAATTCTATAAAATCTTTTTTTTATATCCAGAACAATATAATTTATAAACGCGGGAAAAATCATTGATGCCATTCATTGCAAGTGAATGTTGCTTGACCCTCACCAGTTTAAATTCTGAACACTTCAATGTCGTATGCACACTTGACTAGTATGTTTATGTGCTCTGGAATGTGGGGTTACTGCTAAATTAACTTCTTTTTTAATTTTCTGCCGCTTCACAAAATAAAATAATTTTGCATTACGTTTTATACCAAAACCATTCTGCCATTTTTTCAAAATTCAGTATTAGAGTCCAGTGTGTGTCGAAATGTCAAAAATTTCTATTCGTACTGACCAGTTATTGGAACAGAAGCAGACAAGGCTGTTTCTGTACTAACGTCGCGATGATATATTTCCAAAGGCTAAACGATGTACCGTAATATAAAAACGTTTGAGAACTACTGGTCTTCGCTGTACTCCTTGACCGTCTCTCGAATTTGATCGCGGCCTTAAGGGGGCTATGCACGCTCGAGATACAATTTGAGCCGTCTGTTGATTGACCGCATTCTGAAGGCACCGCCAGTCGCCTAGTTTAGTTCGTTTGGTTTTACCGCATCAGGTAAGCGGTCATCGAACTCAGCCTCCCTTCCAGAACATTCTTCGCTCTAACTTCTTCCGGAAACGGAGCATCGTTATCTGTCCTGTAGAGGACCATACTCGGAAGAGGGTTACGCGCCTAGACCAGCATACGGATAACCACGAACGCGTATATTGCTGAAACGGAATACGGCTATCGTTCACCGATGGATTTTTCCTGTCGGATTGTGGCCACAAACGGTCCTGTTTTCCCGGTCGGTGAAACCGTTACGGGTCGAACTGTCACAAATCCCGAGCGTGCGTGAGTCCTTTAGAATAGATACCTATGAGCTGCCCGCTGGCAAGTATTGTTTTGACAAACAGTTAAAGCATATGGATAAGCAGAACATGTATGGAGGGAGTGAATTTATTAAATGAAAATACTTTAGTGGTAATTGTGTGATGGAAGTGAGTCAAGAAAAGCTGCATTTGCATTTTGATGAAAAATGCATTGGCAATTTTGCGTTGACTGGCGTCAAGGTTCTTTGATATTGACCGCGAAGGCGGAAGACTACATTGTCGCCTTTGTCGTAGACATGAACGAACCTAGGGAGTCGGATTGTTTCTATCAATTTTAAGTAATTTTAACCATGTTTACTTAAACCAACTACCTTATCACGTCCGTTTTGCGTCGCCACTCATTATATACCGCATCCAGCACGTGTTCCATTAATCCGTTTGCTTTAGCTGTTTGTCAAAACGCCCCTCGCTGGGCGCGCAGAGCGTGGCGTGGCGTGGCGTAGCGTGGCGTGGCTGACTGAGCGTGTGCGTGCGCAGGGCTGGTGCTGGTGTCGTCGCTGCTCATGCTGGCGTCCTTCGCCATGTTCGCCTTCCCGAAGCGCCTGCGCACCAGCCGCAACCCGCCCAGGCCGCTGCGCTGCGGCAAGAAGAACCTGAGCTTGCGAGGTGAGTACCCTCTCCACCACGCTCCACCCTTTCCACATGCACGCCGTGGTGTGAAACGTAACAGGTGCGTTGCGCTTCCATGTGTAGGGTAAAATGCCCATCTTGGATTACGGAAACTGTTAAGGCGGTGGGGTCGTATTTGTCTCGACTCGAAGAGCTTCGAATATGGATGTTGATTAGCATCTTGGGAATTTGTGGGGCTCTCCCAACCACCAATGTAACACTACTAAACCCCCTTTCTTCCTGCGCAGAGAATTCCCCCCCCCCGTCAATAATCGGGTAATTTCTAGCCGAGATGGTAGCACGGGATCCATCTAGCTCAGAAGGGCCTTCGGGCTTCCTCTGAGTGTGGTGGCGGCGGGGTGAGAGTCGTACTCCGGCGATGTACTGTAAAGAAAGGGAAGTGCGACGTGATGGTATTCTCTGGGGACCATCAGAAAGGGAGGAATATGCGCGGATGAGAGTCCGACAAGTCAGAGCAGTTTCAGTGTTACCGGATCAACATACCACCACTGGTCGCCCACCGCTACCAACTGTTTTATTGACTTTAATATTCGCCGCCGGAGACCGGTTCAATAACTGTCTCGGTCACTTTACTCGTTATTTCCGTTGTTCCCCGGTTGAACGAATATATTTCATTCGGAAGTATTTCAAACATCCATAGGTTTCCATGGGAATTGGGTTACGAGTTTACTAATGTACAACCGAAGTCTTCATTACTCCGACGGAAGGATATTCTGTGAGAACTCACTACTACTTTTATCATAGCTGGTATAAACAGCGGTTCTTATCAATTTCTAATTACTAATTAAATTTTCAGTATAATTATTTTGTTTTTATAGAGTAGTAGATACATTTTCAGCACAACAGTATTAAATGAACGTTGGAAATGTATAACTAGTGCGTGTTCTAACTTGAAATTACATTACAGTGCATTCGCACTATGACGACAGCTGAAAACAATGTGTCCGTCTTTGGTCCGTATCGCTCCCCCTTTTCACTCTGCACTGAAACCGCAAAGGCGAAACTTGGGTTTCGATTCGAGGAGCGTCCGCTGTGGGTTCCCGGGAACAAGAGGAAAGAGATTACATTGGAAATTTTGCGAATGAAACTAGCAGAGAAACGAGCAAGTCTCTGTTGTCTTGAAAAAATAATTCTTTCGCGTATATTATCCGGGCACTAATAAGACGAAAACAAGATAGAAATATGCTTTGCCTTGGAGGCACAGAGTGCTGTTCTAGAGAAGCACGTCACTTTGGATGGGCCATAGCTGCAACTCCTCGCTCTCAGGCGGTGGCCGTAGGCCGACTGTTTTGGGCAGGGTTGCTTTACTACATACGTGACCACAGGCCTGCCCTCTGACCTGCAGTATCTGATAACGAAATTATCTTCGACACACGCGTACAGCCTAACCCATTTACTTTTTCCTTTCCAAATATATTTTTTTCCCTGCTGTAGGTCTTCTTTCATTTCTATTCTCTCAAATATGAAAATTTAGTGTGGTATTTTCCATTAGTATTTTTTTTGTGCAATTTTGAGTGACGTTATGACCATAAAAATAAAATCATAGAGGCATAGGTTACATGAATTATGTATTTCCATTGAAACCCCTGGAAATTCGAAAATTTCAAAAGTTCGAGCTCGCGCTATACATACCTTTTATTATTCAAGTTTTACTTCCTTAATGTAAACTGTGCCTCAAAATTAGAATTCTTTAATATTTCATGTAATTTTTTCTAATAACTATTTATTTTTGAATAATCTGTTTGTTAATATGTGAAGAGAAGACTTACGACTCTCGTGTTCCCCAGGAAGAAGCGAGTTTTGTTTTCTATGCCCTAATCTACAAAATGAGACCTGTTTAGACATTATATTTCAAGCTAGGCGTTTAAGAGAAAAATACTTCACTTATATTCACTATATTTGCATTTTTGAAAGTGAAAAGCGTATTATTAATAATATCAATAATAATTATCGCATGTGAACGATATTATTATTTACAAAGGTTCGTAGTGATGTTATTTTTTCACTTAACATAACTTTGCGCATAAACGGTACTGGAGACAGTATATTTGACTTCCGAAGGACTTTGCTCTGTTGTCACACGATCAGTTTCTGTTGTATTTCTCAGTCGTGCGGGAAGGGGCGAGGAGCCCAGTGATCCCCGTGTTTTCGTCGGTAGGTTTTCAAATTTCACAGGTTTGCAGGGAATTCAGGCAAACACACGCTAATGACGTTTTTTGAAAGCTTGCAGATAATGGAAGAAAAAAAAACGTAAAAAATATGTGTTTTCAATAATTATACGGGTATACTCTTTGACAAAAGAACCTCAATAACATTAAACATTTAATGAATTGCGGCGGAAATTCGGCCACTAGGTGACAACTAGTTTTGAGTTAAAAGGTGAGAATTTTGTAAGGATTTACAATATATTGTATTAAGATAGTATCCGCCAAGGTGTTGAGGGAGGAGAGCAGTGGAAGACCAATTTGAAGGCCGGGATTCGATTTCCGAAAATTCCAGGTTTTTATATTTTTTCAGTTAGCCACTGTTCTTATAAATATGGAATACGCCCGATTTTCAGTAAAATCTGTGATCTTTTGAAAATTGCAAATCGGATCTCTACGCAGCAGAGAGTTTTACAAGACAGCTGAAGAATTATTGGTTATAATTTATAATAATACGAATCTGTTACCAATTGTACGAGGAAGTATGTGCTAATTTAGCACTTATTTTTTTATCGCATGCTTCTTTTGAAGCTTTACAATGACCGAGAATATGATGGCCAGCTCCAGACGTGAGCAAAAACAACAAATCATACGCAACATCAGAGGTGATTTCCAGAAACGGTTAATTATTTTCAAAATAACATGTAATGTCCATACAACAAAACTGACAAGAGCTAAGGTAAAAAGTGGTCTTGACTCATCAATGCCACGAGGAGGAAAACTAGCAAATTCGTCCGAAGTAATGGAGTTACTAACCGTTATTAACATAGTTAAAATCATTTTTAGCTTATTAAAAAAAATGAAACTTTAAAAAATGATCAAGTGTATGAGATTTTTTTTTCAACGTTGCTTGCATGAAAGCTTGGATAGCTTGTTGGATATGATCGAGATTCCGGAATTATCTGTCGGTTTTTTCATGAAGCTGCTTGTTATGAGTTTCATATTATAATTTTGCTATAGAGCAAGGGAGATATGAGAAAAGAACAATAAGAGCAGTCAACGACAGCGATAAATTTACAACCAACTTTACTTCCAAAAACTAGGTTGACAATATGAGACAGTGTAATGAATGATATCAAAACTGGTTTGTAGTTTGACGAAAAGAGGGAAACAAACAAGCCCTGGAAACATACCATACATCCAAATAGGAAGGTTAACCTTGTCGTCAAAAAATTATCATCATCATTATCCTCACCATTATCAACAACACTGGAACGTAGAACTACACGAGCAATCACAAATAAGCAGTATATATCAGCAATCACGAATAACTAACTTGGATTACCTAAAAACTTTTTAGTTTTTTCATTGGGGTTAAGACATCATCAGTTGATTTAGTCGCACGTCATTACATATTGTCTGAGGTCGGAAAATATCGGCATTGAAGATATGCTGTGCGGTATGCAAAATATGCAATTCTGTGCAAAATGTATACACACACTCCAAGAAGTGGAACCTGAACGATGATTCAGCGTTCTAATTAAGGTCCCTCTTATTTGTAAAATAAATATCTAACTGTAGGTATATCATATTCAATATGATTCGAACGAAATATTGGTCCGGGTAAAGGAAATTTAGAGCAGTTGAACCATGACTCTGTAGGCATCTGAAAGTACTAAAGTACTACACACACATATACAGTATACACTTCTTCTTTCTCCCTCCCTTTCTCTCTCTTTTCATCATCTGACGCTGTCTTCCCTTTGTGATTGGTAATCGGTACCCCTCAAAGCAATCTCGTCTCGTTTGAGCGGTGGGCACAGCATCCTCCGCCCGTGCCCTTTGTTCTCCTTGCGGGAAATTAGGGCGCGGGACCGAATCGACGGCGATTCGGCTGCTTTCCGCCTCGTGGGGCGGCGGCGGCGGCCGCCGACTTTTTTCTCGCGTTGCCGCCGCCCATTGTCTGGGTCCTCGTTCAAGAACTAACCTTGTATAGCTGTAGCCGGAGAAAAAACCAATGCGCCTTACCCTTTTGTTCGTAGGCCGCATAAAGGACTCGTTGATATTTGAATGAAACACTCGACAGTAGCACTTGAGGAGGGGCTCTTGAAAAATCGTGTTGGAACCAAATTCATGTTTCGCCAACTTTATTCATAGAAAGCTCGTTTTCCCCCTTTTGGAAGAGATTCTCGGGAATGAGTTGAATTGGATTGAAGTTGTCTCTCTCTTCATTTTAAGTATTGAGACAGCCATCAGGTCCACTCTTCCGAATTACAATTTAATTTGAAGATCACTGGCAACTGATATAACTTCTGACTTTTAAACAATTTTGTTAGCTGTGCTCGTTGCTATATGAAACGAAACTGAGACTGTATTTTCTCTCAGAATAAAACAGTATTATGACATTTCTTTCGATCTGGATCATGCAACTTTGGTTAAATAGTTACTCGTGTCGTATTTTCGCGAGAATTATTTCATTCGATATGCTTCGTCATCTTATGGAACTGGCTCAAATTTCATATTCTGGATGAACTACGTAAACGATGAACACTGAGAACTGCAAGATGAACTGTATTTAACATCGAAAATATTATTCATTTTTTGCCTTGTCGGCGTCAAACAAACACCTACAAACACAAAAATGTTGTTAATGCTTTTCAAGGAGAATTGTGATTCATGGCGTTATAAATAGTCTTTCTTTTTGCACCTCTTTCTGATGAAAAATCTCCTTCACGGAATTCTTCAAGCACTGTCTATATTGCTTTTTTCTCTCCTCGCCTTTTTGACCATGCATTTTTCTTCCGCTTCCCAAGACTTCGTTCAAATAATATT